GGTTAGGATTGCTCCTATTGGCCAACATTCTGGGTTGAAAAGTATGGAAGGGCAGACCCAGCACTCAATGTTCGAACAGAAGTCTATCCCCTGACATACTGTTGACATCGTAGCTAGTTGATGTTCTTCCGTGTGCCATTTCACGATAACGTTGTGATCGTGGAGAGTGACTTCCGGCGGAAATCGTACAAGTTGTTCTCCATGCGCGACCTGCTGCACCTTGCAGAAGTTTTCTGCGCAAATCTGTGCCTCTTGAGCCTTATTTGAATGAATCAATACTCCATTTTTCGAGCAGCTCAGTCTAATTTCGCTGTTTTTTGAGGGTGTAATGAGTGCAAGTAGCATGAGATAGAAAAGAAACCATTTCGGGTTACGAGAAATTTGTCTCTCTTTCGGAATTGTGACATGATGTACTTGGCGCGTTGTCTGTCTGGGCGCAAATTGTACCGAGGTTGCTGCTGTTGCGGCGCTGCTTCATTATCTTTGACGAGATGTTCTTTTTCCTCTGAAGGCCCCGATTTTCTCCTGCTCTCCTGTATTTCAAGAGGGATGAGAAGGTTTACAGGTCTTCGTATTTTCCTTCTGGTTGCTGTGAGAAGCTCGGCTTCACGAATTTCACCGTCTGCGCCGCGTTTTACATCTGTGATTCGCGCCATTTTCCAGTCATTACGTGGAAGGATCGGGTCATTGGCTAGTACCACATCTCCTATAGTAGGAATTTCGCATCCAAGTCTGCGGTTCGAAGTGAGTCGTTTATGTTTTTCGCGCAGAGATGTTAAATATTGGTCTTGCCAGACTTTCCAAAATCGCTCCGTTTCCTGGCACGAAGTGCGCAGTGCCTCTACCACTTGTTGGCGGTATTGCATTGCGCGTACCTCTTCCGGAGGAAGATAATCCGAGTCATCGTTGTCCACGTTTTCAGGAATCGTGAGTGTCAATAACATATCCTTCTGTAAGAAGTCGATTGGACGTACGGAGCTCATTTCTTCTTGCGTTGATGTCTGGTACGTTAACGGCCTTGAGTTTAGGCTAGCTTCCACTTCAGCGAGAAAGGTCTGGATATCGTCAAACGAACGTTGTCTTGCCGTGCGCAAAGCTTTATAGATCGACTGCTTTATCGACTTGATCAGGCGCTCATACAATCCCCCTTGCCATGGTGCGTAGGGCGTGATATGATTCCACTGGATTTCTCGGTTGGTCACCGCCTGAAGAATTTCGGCGTCAAGATGATCTCGTTGATCTCCCAAGATATTAGCACTGAGCAGAAAGGTCGGTGCATTATCACAAGTGATAGATTCAGGAAGACCTCTACGGGCAATAAATCTTCTAAGCGCATTAAGAAAGTCATTTGTGGACATACCCCTTACTACTTCTAGGTGAAGCAGCCTGGTCACAGTGCATGTGAATATGCAACCGTATAACTTGTGCTTCTCTCCTTTTTCCGTGCATGATGGAAGATCGAAAAAATCTAATCCTGTGTGCTGGAACGGCCGACATCGTATAACGCGACGATCATCCGGAGTATTGGAATAAGATTACGGTAGCGCATTAAACCGTCGACATTGAACACAATGTCTAATCGCTGTGCGTACTTGTTGCCTTAATTTCGGAATCCAGAAATACTCCCGTACTGTAGCGATCGCATGCTCTATACCTTGATGGTTGAGGCCATGTGCATTCCGCACGATGTTTTTCGCTAACGCAGTATTAGGCGCAATAAATGTCGGGTTCTTAGCGTCATCATTCAACGCTGAGTGATCCAACCTCCCTTCTGAGCGCCATATATTATTTCCGTCCTGGTAGTCTTCTCCATAGATTTCCGGTATTCTTTGATCAATAAATGAATTGATGGTTGCGAATTAGTGCTACTTTCGCTGCGCGTATTTCACGACCTTCCAGAGGACCTATGGAGCCCTGTATTCTTTCAACTCAGGAATGTGCTCAAAAATTCGTATTAGGAAAGCCTCGTTTTTGTTGTGCAGAAGCTTTTTCACAAAGCGAAGGGCTAGTGCTGTAATTCGTTTCGCAGTGGAGAAGGCGCTGTATCGGTTCCAATCTGGAGATCGCTGGTTTATTCGCTTCTTTCGGAGACTGTATTGATATTCGCAGCTTCTTCGTTCCCGAGCTCCTCGAACGTAGGCTCGTTGCTAGTTGTTATCTTGAAGAAACGAGACGTCCACTGATGTTTAGATGTGCGCAAGAACTGTGGACCACTCCACCAGTTGTGAGTGATGATTTGTTCCTTGGTGAGTCCAAGAGTTCCGGCATCCGCTTGGTTTTCGGCCGTGTTGACTTATCCGAAGACGGCGGATATTGCTTCGTTCTCTAGTTGGCGAACGATTCTATGTATTTCGCGCAACCTGTTTTCTACCAAAACTCCCAAATTGGTTTGACGGGTTGAGGAAAGCCAACTGAGTGCTATCTGAGAATCCGAAAAAATGTATATAATAGTAAGGTGTCCGCGATCTCTTAGCTTTAGTGCTTGCGCAACCGAAAGGGCGAGGCGAGTCGCTAAGGTTAGTGCGTTAATTTCCAATTTCGGTACAGTGATCTTCGTTTTGATGGGTGGTAACTTACATTTGCCCATCACTAGCGAAGAATTGTTACCGTTGAATGAATAGGCGCAGGCGACAATAGCAATTTCGCTTGCATCGGCGAATACTGCCAAAACTTGCTCTGCAGGATCTGCGCAGTACCGCCTTGGAATGGACTTTCGAAATCCATCGATATTTTCGATGATTTTTGCCCATTGATAGCAACATGTTGGGGCAATTTTGTATTTCAAATTTCTGCTTCCACAGAACCTGTTGAAACTTTTCCGCAGGCATAAGGAAAGGGACCAGGAACCCTAGTGGATCGTAAATTGACGCTGTTTGGCGTGCAACAGTGCGCTTCGTAATAAGATCGGTCGGACATAATGAACATTTGATATCCTAGCAGTCCGTTTCCGCATTCCAAGGGAGCCCCAGCACTTTTTGCATCGATTCTTCCGCCCACGCAGTCCCTGGTAGGTGTTGTCGTAGGGTTTCGTCATTGGATAAAAATTGTGTCAAGTTCATGCCCATATCCTCGAGAATCCTGCGTGCTTTCAGAGTCCTCTCGGAAGTTTCTGCAGTTGTTGCGGCGGAGAGAATGAGGTTGTCTACATATAGATTCTCTTTGATTTCATTCGCTAGACCTTCATTTCTCACAGCGCTTCGCAAGTGGTGATGAATAGTTGCGCCTAGTAAATACGGAGACACATTCAGCCCAAAGGTCACCCGCGTCAATCGGAACGTAACAATATTTTCTTCATTTAACGACTCATGCACATCGCGTACCCAAAGGAAACGAGTGGCATCCCTGTCTATCTCATGTAAGCGCACTTGCAGAAAGGCTTTCTCTACATCGAGATGATCACGAACTTAGGGATCCTAAAGCGCAACAGCATAGCATATAATTCCGGTAGGATAAGTGATCCTTGGTGCAGCACATCGTTTAACGAAGGACTATCTTTAAAATGTGCCGACGCATCAAACACAATGCGCAGTTTGGTAGTCTCCTTATGTGGTGTTATAACTGGCTGGTGTTGTATGTAATGAACAACGGCAGTATTGGCTAAAGAAGAGCTTTCAATTTCTTCAATAACATCATTTTCTTGCTGTGCGCGGAAGGCTTCGTCATAGTCATTTAGCGATTGCGGGGTTCTACGCAGCGTTTCTAAGACTGTTCTTAGTATTTTGAGCGCAATTGCCTTATGTAGTGGTAACGGTGGGTGATTTTCCTTATAAGAAAAGCGGATGTAGTAGCCATCCTTGCGCTTCTCAATTGTCTCCTCGAAGAATTTCGCTGCTTTCGCATTAGTGCTTCCTTTTCTGCATTTTTTTGTATTCGTGAATTCGCACACTCTAGCGGAATCCATGGTCCAGTATTTGTCCCACCTTTGCAACTCCTCTTCGAAGTTAGTGAAAGAGTTGATGAAGGCATCTGGCTCCATACCATCATGGTGGGTCGGATCTCTTTCCAGTGACGTGTCCATTTGTTGCCCTGTGAGCAAATATCCAAGCTTGGATGGAACAAGTTGTACTCCGGATGGTAGAGTGTAACGAGGACTAGAAACATCAAGAAAATTCCATAACTGATCGCATCCTAATAGATTTGAAGTTTTGCAGATTGCTCACATCCTTTTTTAGCAACGCGATTTTGTGCAGCGCAATGTATTCCAGGTCCGCGTTACATAGGTGCGCGGTTCTTCCTTTAGCTGTCAGGACGGGCGTAGTGTAAAGGCGCAGAACATGTTTGACACCAATCTGGTCCAACAGGTCCAACATAGTTGCTCCACATGTGGTTTGCCTGGGTTTTTCTGTACCAAAGATGTATATACTGAAGTTCTTCTCACAAACCAGTCCCAGATCTCCAGCGAGCCTTTCACAAATGAAGGAATAGTCAGCACCTATGTCTAGTAGTATCTCCACGTCTTTCCAGAGGTCCCTTTTTGGATCTTTAACTCGAGCTACTCGCGTTAATGAGAAAACATTACTTCCCTTACCAAGAATGTTTTCTTCATGGCGGAGAGAACCATTCTTTGGCTATTCTCCTCGTCGCAAGCCACTGCTTCTTTGTTATCGCAAGAAGCGTCTCGAGCAAATTAGCCTGCGCTGGCTTTCCTCTCTTCAGTGGTGCTTGTTTCGTTATTTTCGGGGCGCTTTTCTGCGCAGTAGAGGCAGCTGATGGCGCTTGCGCGTGTGTCCTTCTCTCGTATGGCGGCTGAGTCTGAGCACCTTGTGTTGACTGACAGCGTTGTGGACAAAGCGTGTAATGATGTTTCTTCCCATTGCATGCTTTGCATCCATCTCTTGGACACTGTTTAACGAAATGTTCTGGTAAAGCGCAGTTTAGGCATCTATGTTGTTCCCGGAACACTGCGCGTTTTTCTTCCAACGTGGTGCATTTCTTGCAATACATGGATTTGTGATCTCGACTGGCGCAGAGAATGCACTGCCCAATCCCTATGAGCAATAGTTTAGATCGCTTACTTTCGCGAAAAAATGGTAGCGCATTCCTATCGGATTTGGCATAAACCATATCGTTTACATTCTCCTCCATCAATATGATCTCATCGAGGTCCTTTGAGGCATTCTCTATTACCCAAGCGCCTTCACCTAAGGCTTGGTCCATTCGTCGTTGAAGCACTTTCCTCTGGAAATCGAAAGAGAATTTTGAAAGTACTTTTTGCACAAGAAATGATCCGTCCATGGGTACACCCTCCTCTTTTAGCTGTGTAACTATAGGAGTAAGAAGTTCCAATAGCCGACGTTGTGATGAGATCGATGATTTTTCGGCCTTTGCGCTTTCTAAACGGGACTGTAGACACGCTATGAATTTGATGTCATCACCGTACTTTCTGCGCAATAGTTCAATAGCATTGTCACAGTTTATTTTGTTTTATTTATTTATTTATTTATAACGTTGTGCATAAGGCAAACGCGAGAGAACGAGGCTGAAAAATCAAACTAAAGTTACAACACAGTTATCTTCAGTTATTGGATAACGTCGCACAAGCTCTCGGGCTTCCCCTTGCAGCGAACTCAGTAAGTAGTTGAATTTTTGTAGTCTTATTAACGCTTGGTTGTGGACATTAAATGTGAACAAGGTCCAAAAGTTTCGAAAGTCCCAGACCTCGCCACTAAACAAGGGTATGGGAATAGGGGGTAGCGTTGTTTGCGCAACTCCTATTTCCCTCGTATTCGCATGCTGTGCTTGAAAATTGGGTGGAATTTGCGCATGGTCTCTGGCGCTCGTACGCTTGCACTCTAGTTGGATGGCTGCTGTCTGTGCAAGTTCGAGGGCGCTGTGCGCTTTTGTGACGTAATCGTCTGCTTGCTTCTCATGCTCTTCCGTTAGCGCATCACCCAGTGAGTCACACATAGCGGTAAATGCGTTCAACGTCTCAAAAAGCAAGGTTATGGAAGAATTGAGTTGAAGAGCTACCGATTGTGCTCTCCTGGAATTCTCACTATCGAAGAAGGTGTTCGGGTCCGCATTTATGACCGTTTCGTTGTCTCTTACGATACGCTCTAAGTTACTACAATATCTCGTCAAGAGCGCTTTTTGAGACTCTAAGGATGTGGGGCCAGCCATGACTGAGAGAGTTACAGGAGAGAAGAAACGTGAGATGAAAAAACATAAAGAAAACCCAGTTGACAAAAATTCTTCGGGCGCAGATAATTCAGTCCAAAGAAATCTCCACTGCGCTTCGCCTCGCTTCGCCGACGAAATTAAAAGCTAAAAAAGTGTAAAGAATAGCACCTCTGTGCTCCTCAGGTCCGATGTGGAATGGCCGATGCACCATAAAATAGCTTCGGTGGTTCGCACTTATGTCACTGTGCAACCAACCACGGCGCTACAGAACTTTATTTCCACATCAAACTTGGGTAATTAAACCTACAATCTGAGGGAAGACTTGCAACAACAATAAATGGAGATCTCTCCAACCGAGAACCAAAGTAAGGCATTATAATGAGAAGACACCATAAATGAGCATATGTGTAATACAAATAAGCTACAAAGAGAATATAGGATGAAGCGTAAGTACGACAGGGCGCAAGCGTCTACTAAGAAGAACTAGGGTCTCAGCGCATGCCAGCGTACTTATACCGTCGTTGGCATTTGCCTCACAATATCTGGCTGATAAGCGCAGAATATAGGAAAATTCCCGACAAAACAAATCTCTAATCAGATGAGAATGTTGAAGCTCTGGGAACGATGGATTGCTTGAAGCCATGGGAACGATGGATTGCAAGGATAGTGTCTGTGTCTGTTCCGAACTTTATTTCCACCTCGAACTTGGGTAATTGTCTGTAGTGTCTGTTCCTCTAATCTGATTGTTTACTTTTTTCGATCTTATTGTAGTGCTTCTTGAGACTAGGTTTCGGTATATATAATGCCCAGCCAATGTGAAATGCGACTTAATTCGAATTTTACCTCTTCGAAAAAATCAAAATCGACAGTTTAATCTTCGTTTATGGGTACCATCCTTTCTTAACTGTCTACTGGTTCTGAATGCCTCCGCATTCATAACCTGGTTTAGTGGCAGCGCGAAAGTGTTATTGTGGCAAGTGGCGCACATCACCCACACGATGGTCACGGGTTTGAATCCTAGATAGTATCCGCCTAGGCCAAGCGAGCCTATCCCTCAGGGGTCCCTTAATCGGTAGCAGACTCGTCTGGGAGGATGAAAGCACTGACGTGTACATCGGCTGGCCACTGCAAATTATTGTACAGGCCACATGCGCATTCAATGCGCCACTACGATTCTGAATTAAAGTCGAATGCGTGCGCGCATCCCGCTGACGGGATTGGTTGACGCTTCAGAACTTTGGCTTTTATCCTTTCTGTACAAATGGCGAATTGTGACTTGTGCACTTCGACTAACTTCCCCAAGCTGCTTCTTTAACTCTAGCAGTCACTTCGACGTAATTATTAATTCATGTAAAAGTCATGGCATAGCGTCATTAGCATATAGCACGACCCGATATCAAGTAGCATTTATAGAGAAGAGATTCTAGTTCCTCTTCCCTGATCTTTTTGCGAGAACGGTAATCTGAGACTGCCCCAGTTCAGAGGTGTCGTACAATCAAATAATAACTCATTCTTTTTTCCTGTGCAGAACAAGGAAATCGAAGAAGCAAAAAGGAGTCGTCGGGGCACCGTATTTTGAGATATGATTTCTTGTCGACTCCCTCAGTTTCCTTTGTATCCCTCCTTCACTATGCAAGTCACGGCATTCGCTGCAAACATATATGTAATCGTCGCAGGTTAACTCGCAACATAACTTGTGTATGTCGTCTTGTCCTTCACCTTTCTTGAAATTATGGCAGCCAATCTATAACAGGCTCGCGTTGAGCAGGTCTTGATTGCGAGAACCGCCTCTTCGCTCAAAAAGTGTCAAACCATGAGCTGCCGTCCCGGTTGTCAGCTCCCTCGCCTTCTTTGGCATTCCTGCTCCACTCTAAAACCCGCAAATAGGGTTCAGAGTCATTGCAAAAAGTTTACTGTCGCCATGCCTGTGCGCTCGGCCTAGAATAAACATCTCCTTAGCAGTGTTCGATTGATATGCCAGGTCATGTCACGTAAGTGTGCCCACTATGTATAGTGGGAATCTGAAAATGAGTAGAACCAATAATAAAACTTCTGAACACAACTCATTGTCATGATAAACGACGAAACTATCGAAATATTTTACGTTTAATATTCAATAACATCAGTCTTGAAATTCAGGGCACCATGGAAAAAGATCTCGTACATCATGGCGGGCTAGAACACCGTGAAGTTCACAATGCCTACGGTTTCTACCAGGCTAGTCGGTTTCGCTTGGTTTCATATCAGTTTTTTTTTGTCAAGAACGGACGAATTCTTTTTCTCTACCAACCTTGGTGAAGTATTGTAGGGAGCAATATTATTTTAGCACGAATCCACATATGCAGGTCAACTGAGTAGAAGTAATGGTGAACGACGGCCATTTGTGCTGACACGTTCATTCTTCGTGGGCTCTCAGCGAACCGCGGCTATATGGACCGGGGACAACAAAGCTGAATGGGCTCATCTGAAGGTACTTAGGTACATAATGACGTAGTACTCAATATAGCCTCTACTAGGAGAAACGAACATTGACAACGTGCATTCATTCGCTCTTACAGTAATCGGGCTGCTTGACTGCCCGGTCATGACGTAACAAGTCCAGGAAATAATCCATCCCTGTCAGCTTGCCCAGGACATTTTTCCGATGAAACGTATTTATGGTGTGATCAGTATGTGAGCACTGAAATAAGGTTATGTCTCCAGAATGAAGCATGTTGTGGTGCAGTTCTGTATCGGTTGTTTTATGTTTCACGATAACATCACTGAAGGAACTCGCTCTCAGCTTTGAATTTTCATGAATGTCTGCAGTTTTGGCAATAAGTATTCCACCAAATGACTGGATTCGGAACTTTGTACCAAGTCGTGAGGTTGTAGCGGAATTTTCCATGAAATCGAACTGATGAATGAATAGCTGCTAACAACAACGACTTCTCAGAGATTGATCCATTTTTGGAAAGACTATATCACAAAGTCTATATCGCTGTTTCAAGCAGCTGCTCATTCTGAGAATCGTTTATTATGCTACTTCAGGGAACAATTCCTATGCTCCTTTCTCTCTCGTCCGCTGGTTTCGCCCACGTAGGCGCCGACGTTGGTGGTTTCTTTGGAAACCCTGATGAAGAACTTTTGGTTCGGTGGTGAGTTGGTTAAGCGTCTATATACGAGTGTTAGATTGCGATACCATTCAACGAAAGACAATGCCCCTTGAACGTAATTATAAGAGTTTAGAATGCAACAAATTTCTATGAAAAAGTAGTCGTTTTATTTGATGTGGGTTTGTTGTGGAAGAGACAACGATCTATCAAAACACTTCAAACGCCGCTCTCAAACAGCAGCTTCTAACATGAGTGCGTCCAAGTAATTTGCTGTAATATGTAGCAGCAAATCAGACCGGATCTAACTCTTTATGCGTCAAACAAGCATGGGCATGACCATTTCTGCTGACGTTTCACAAGATTGTAAACACACCAGACGCAGGAATCCAAACTTAGGGTGACAGCTGAGCTTTTCCCGAATCTGGTGCGGAACGACAGAACGGAAACATGAGACCTGGTACTATCATTTAGTGATTCCGTAGATTTATTTATTTATTTATTGAAGACGTTGCATAAGGCAAACGTGGGAAAATTTCTATCACTAACAACACAACGTAACCTAATTATACGACAAGAGCTTTTTCTTGGCGAGAAGTTTGAAAAGTGCAAACGTGGAAGTGGTGAATGGCACATCTGATTTTAGAGATATAAAAGTAGTGCCGGCTCGGCAAGTAAAGCTGTACCGTCTGATGTTGGTTTTCGGCGTTGCATATGAAATTTTAACTTTTCCACCTCTGGTTCTAGATTCCAACTTTGCATAGAATTTGGATACGTCGATTCTAGCAATACCAGTCAGCAACTTGAACACCATACATACATCATAAACCTTCCTACGAGACCATAAACAGCGCAATTGTAAACTTTTATTCCTTGAATTTGGCTGAGGCACTTTACCATAAGTAGCATCACCAGATCTAATAACCAGCTTTCGAGTGAAATTATCTTGGATTTTCTCAATCAACTGAATATCCTTCATCTTATATGGGCAGAAAACCGACGTTCCACATTCAACTACGGGACGTATATACGTTTTGTACGCCTTCAGTAAAATATCCTTACACTAATCGCTAAACCTTTGAAGACCTGGTATGTTCGGAAGATAGCCTTTTTGAAAATAGCCGCATAGTGATTCGAGAAATTAAGCTTCGGAACACCACTGGAAGAACCAATTTTCATGTAAACAGTTTTCTCCGATGCAAGAGGCAAATTCCATTTACATGACCAATCAAAAAAACAGTATAGAGCCTTTTGAATCCTTCATGTATCATCACTGCCTTCCAACTTCCTATAAACCTTGATATCATCTGCAAATTGCTTGCAAACAACACCACATCCTTCTAGTAAACCTGGGAGCTCCTGAGTATATATAGCAAAAAGAATAGGTGATAATACACCACCTTGAAGCACTCCGCTTTTAACATTCACGACCTTAGAAAAGGAAGACCCTATTCGGACTTGAAATGCCCTCGAAGAGAGGAAGTTCTCCAACCAACGACAAACTAAAGGATGAAATTTAAGCTGATCCAACTTATACAAAAGTTTAGCCTGATCCACTTTATCAAACGCTTTGGAAAAGTCAAAATAAACAACATCACAAGCTTTCCTTTCATCAAGGCAAACACTCCAGTCATTGA